CCTGGGCGGGGTGACGAAGGTGTCCAGATCCAAGTGTCTGAGTCAAATCTCCCGGAGGTCTGTACAGATCTCAGATATTTTAAAATGTTAATTTTTCCTTTCCATGACCACGGTTTGTGCTTTCATGTATTTGTAACTTCTTCAATGTCTTGTAATTTCCTGAATACGTCTTTTACTTCCTTGGTTAAATTTATTCCTAGCTCTTTTTTTTTTTTAATGCAATAGTAAATGTAAATGGGATTGTTTTCTTAATTTCTCTGATAATTCATTATTAGTGTATAAAAATGCAGCTTATTTTGGAATGTGAATTCTGTAACCTACTTTACTGAATTCATTTCTATTCATCAGTTCTAGCAGTTTTTTTGGTGGAATTGTTAGTATTCTTTTTATATTAATATTATGTCACCTGCAAATAATGACACTTTTACTTCTTCCTTTCCAATTTTAATGCCTTTCATTTCTCCTCTTTGTTTGATTACTGTGGCTAGACTTCCAGTATATGTGGAATCAGGGTGGAAGTGGGCATCCGTGTCTTGTTCCTTTATTATGTTTAGGTATCTTCCCTCTATTCCCACTTTGCTGAGATTTTTTATCATAAATGGGTGCTGGATTTTGTCAAATGCTTTTTCTCCTTCTCTGATATAATTATATAATTTTTATCCTTTATTTTGTTTATATGATGTATCATGTTAATTGATTTGCAGACACTGTACCAACCTTGCATCTGAGGAATAAACTGCACCTATCATGGTATAAGATACTTTTAATGCATTGCTGCATTCCATTTGCTAATATTTTATTGAGGATTTCTGCATCTATGTTCATTAGGTTATTGGCCTATATTTTTTTGTCTTTGTAATGGCTGGTTTTGGAATCAAAGTAATGCTGGCCTCGTAAAATGAGTTTGGAATCCTTCCCTTCTCTTGAATTTTTGAGACTAGTTCGAGGATGGATGTTAATTTTTCTGTGAGTGTTTGGTAAAATTCACCTACGAAGCCATCCATTCCAGGGCTTTTGTTTGTTGGGAGTTTCTGATTACCGATTTGACTTTTGTTGGTAGTAATCAGTCTGTTCATATTCTCTGTTTCTTCTTAATTCAGCCTTGGAAGAGTGTATGTTTCTAGAAATTTATCCATTTCATCCAGATTGTCCAATCTGTTGACATATAGTTGTTCATAGTATTTTTTTTTTTTACAATCCTTTGTATTTCTGTGGTGTTAGTTGTCACTGCTTCTCTTTCATTTCTGACTTTATTTATTTGGGTTCTCTGTCTCTCTCAAGCAGAGTTGAGCTTTTTATTGAACATGTTACAAAAGACGTTTAGTCAGCAAGACCAAAGCCCCTGTCATCATCGGACTCCCTTTGCTCCCCCTTTCTTCTCAGCCGGGGCAGCCCCAGTGGTGGAGGGGGCAGGACCTCCTCCTGGTGCAGCACCTGCTCCTGGGGCAGATCCACCAGATGAGGCTCCTGATGTTGACATTGGCCAGAGCCTTTGCAAACAAGCCTGGCCAGCAAGGTTCAACATTCACATCAGCTGCATTTAATGTGGGCAGCGACCATATCCTCCGTGACTACTGTCTCATCTGCGTGCAGGATGAGGGCCGGTTAGATGCAGGCGAGCCCTGAGGTGGCTGAGGTGTGGGCGAGTGCTGGGGGAGCGCTGCCAGGCATGGTGCTGAAGTGAGGGTCTCACCGCAACGCGCGCTCAGCTTTCTCAGGACCAAGTACATTACTAGCAGCTGGGGAAAACTCTCTCTTTTTTTTTCTTGATGAATCCAGTTAAAAGTTTGTGTTTTCAAAGAACCAGCTCTTAGTTTCATTAATCTTTCGTATTGTGTTTTAGACTACATTCTGAGTTTTACTCTGATCTTTGTTATTTCCTTATTTCTACTTACTTTGGACTTTGTTACTTTTCCGGTTCCTTAGGTGTAATGTTAGATTGTTAATTTGAAGTTTTTCTTGTTAATTGAGATAGGCCTATAGTGCTACAAATTTCCATTTTAGGACTGCTTTTGCTGTGTCCCATAGATTTTAGGTCATTGTGTTTTCATTTTCATTTGTCTCAAGGTATCTTTCGATTTCTTCCTTGAGTCATTGTTAACCCATTCATTGTTTAATAGCATGTTATTTAGCCTCTCTCTGTTTTTTTTGGTTTTCTTAATTGGGTTCGTTTCATACCAGTGTGGTTGGAGAAGGTGCTTGATGTGATTTTAATCTTGTTAAATTTATTGAGACATTTTGTGGCCTAACATGTGGTCTGTCCTGAAAAATGTTCCATGTGCACCTGAAAAGAATGTATATTCTGTTGCTTTGGGGTGAAATGCTCTAAAAATATTGATTAAATCCATCTAGTCTAGTGTGTCACTTAAGACTGCTGTTGCCTTGTTGATCTTCTCTCTGGAAGATCTATCGATGTCAGTGGTGTACTAATGCTCCCTACTATTACTATATTACTGTCACTCTTTCCATTTATGTCCATCAATATTTTCTTTATAGATTTACATCTATGTTGGTTTGCATAAATGTTTATAAGGGTTATATTGTCTGGTGAATTGATCCCTTTATCATTATACAGTGTCCTTATTTGTCTCTTATTATAGCCTCTGCTTTAAAGTCTATTTTGTTTGATATATGTTGCTTACCCCAGCCTTTTTGTTTCCGTTTGCATGAAATACTTTTTTTCCGTCCCTTTGCTTTCAGTCTGTCTTTCGATCTGAAATGGTGTCTTGCAGACAACGTATGTATGCATCTTGTTTTCTTATCCATTCAGCTGCTCTATGTCTTTTGATTGGAGTATTTAATGTATTCACATTTGAAGAGATTATTGATATATACATAATTATTGGCATTTTACTATTCATATTTATATTCCTTTTTTCCTTCTCCTTTTTCTTAAGGAAGTCCCTTTAACATTTCTTGTAATATTGGTTTGGTGATGATGTACTCCTTTAGCTTCTTCTTGTCTGGGAAGCTCTTTAGCTCTCATTCAATTTTAAATTAAATTAAATTACTGGGTATTCTTGATTGTAGGTTCTTTTTTTAAGATTTTAATTTATTTTTAGGGAGAGGGGAAGGGAGGGGGAGAGAGAGAGAGAGAAACATCAGTGTGTGGTTGCCTCTTGCTCATCCCACATTGGGGCCAGGCCCGCAACCCAGGCCTGTGCCCTGACTGGGAATAGAACCGGCAACCCTTTGGTTCTCAGGCTCGCCCTCTATCCACTGAGCCACACCAGCTGGGTTTTTTGGGGTTTTTTTTTAAATCACTTTGAATATTTCATGCCAGTCCTGTCTGGCCTGCAAAGTTAATGTTGAGAAATCAGCTGAATCTTATGGGAGCTCCCTTGTAGGCAACTAACTCTCTCTCTTTTGCCACTTTTAAGATTCTTTGCCTTTAGCCTTGCCATTTTAATTAGGATGTGTCTTGGTGTAGGCCTCTTTGGGTTCATCTTGTTTGGGACTCTCTTCACTTTCTGGACTTGTATGTCTTCTTTCTTTGCCATGCTAGGGAAGCTTTCTGTCATTATTTCTTCACATAGGTTCTCAATCCCTTGCTCTTCTTCTGGTACTCCAATGATGCAGATGTATTTACCCTGGCTATTGTCCCAGAGGTCTCTTAAACTATCATTATTTTTAATATTTTTTATTTTTGCTGTTTTGAATGGATGTTTTCTGTTACCTTGTCTTCTAAATAGCAGATTTGATCCTCTCATCTAATCTGCAGTTGATTCCCTCCAGTGTATTCATTTCAGTTATTGTATTTGTTTTTGACTGGTTATGTTTTTTATGGTTTTTATGTCCTTTTTATGTTTACTATCTTAGTGGGAAGTTCTGGTTAAGTTCCTCAAGCACCCTTATAGCCAGCGTTTGGACTCTGTATCTAGTAGACTTCTTGCTTTCATTTAGCTTTTTCTGGAGACTTCTATTATTTCATTTGGGACTTGTTTCTTTGTCTCCCTGTTTCGGTTACATCTCTGTGTTTGTTTCTATGTATTAGGTAGGGCTGCTTTATTTCCCAGTCTTGGCAGGGCGGCCTTATGTAGTGCGTGACCTGTCAGGCCCAGAGGCACAGCCTCCCTGATCATCTGAACCGGGTGCTCCAGGAGTGTCCCTTGTGTAGGCTGTGTGTGCTCTCCTGCTGTAGTTGAGCCTTAATAGCTTTTGGCACATCAGCGGGTGGGAATGACCCTCAGGCTGACGGGCTGTGAGGATTGGCCATGACTGCGGAGTATGAGCTGCTATGCAGGAACTGACCCCAGGGAGCGGGCTTCACCCCGCTGGGGTCTGTGTCCTTCCAAGACCTCTCTTTGAGTGTGCTGCTTACGGAGCTGATTAATTGGGTGGTGTTCTGTGTGGGCTGAAGCTGGCCACCAAGTGTGTTGGTTCTGGGGCTTCTTGGGAGGGGCTGGTGAAGGTCAATGTAAGATGCTGCTTGTGACCAGCTCAGGGCTACCTGTTAGGAGCTACAAGGTGATCTGCAGTTGGTAGCTGCCTGTCCTGGCACGTGGGAAGGGCCACATTGCAAACCGAGGCTGGTGCCACCAGTACCAGGTCTGGGGCAGGTCACCAGAAAGCCCAGGGCACCCTGAGATCTGCCACTGCCTGCTGGCTGCCCATAAGGCTCAGCCACTAAAAGACCCTTGGGCAGTCCATGAGTTGTGGGAGGCAGGGTCTCAGGGCGTCTCTGGGGTGCAGCTAATTGAGGTCACTGGGCTCATGCAGAATCGAGTTTAGCCCTGTCGGGGGATGGCTCAACACAGAGACAGTGGTGGCTGGCCCTCCAGCCCTCTCGCTCTGGAGCCACACAATCCCGTTTCTCCAGCTATGGCTCTGGCAGCCCCTGTGCTCCTGAGCTTAACTGGACTTGGGGTTTTTTTTTTGTTTTTTTTTTAAGATTGACTGCAATTTGTTTGAGAAAAGTTGGTTATAAAACTATTGTGTATCATCCCAAAACTAGAAGATAGGAAGAAAAGCAAATTGATGTTTGACAGTTGGTGGCAGAGTGATGTACATTTATTTTAAAATCTTGTATTCCAAATTTTCTACAATAGAAAAGAATTATGAGGGATACTGATGAACTAGAAAGTATCCCCTTTGGGAAGTCAAAAACCTAGAAACCTTACATGAGTGAGCTAGAGGGGGGAAAAATGACAGTCAGTGATTTGGAAATACGTGAGGTGATGGCATTGAGGATACTAGTGTCCGGGCGCTCGCGTTTTACCAGGTGCCGCGCTGCAGGCCCCGCAGCTTGAGTGTGAACCTGGGTCTCCAGAAGCCGCTACACTTGGCTTCACTATTCACTCCGTCCCCTAAGCCAGAAGCCTTAAATTTTTCATACGAGCATCACTAATTTTCGTTTACTATCAGGATATAGTGGCCAGGGAAGAGAGTGACCCAGAAAGATAGGAGGTAGAATTATTGTGTTATGATGGTGGTTTAATATTAAAGAGACTGGATATAACTTTCACAAAAAGATATATTTTCATATGGCTATTTACATTTTCTCATATTTAGTTAAAGAATATCATACAACTGATACCTTCTGAAATGCTTCATGCTTTTAAATTCTTTCCTATTTACACTTTTCTGACATGGAATTTAAACTAAAATAGTCATATCCCTTGATAATAGAAAGCAACCTGTCAACATAGCTATAGGTCTTCTCTTAAATTTGCTGATCAACATTAGCAATAGTTACCTTAATAATAAATTACTTATTTAAAAATCAGTAGTAATTTTAAACAATTCATAAATAAGTGTGCTCTGTGCAATTTGCATGTTTAATATCCTGTGGATACTAAAAGCTTGTATGTTGTCAGATTTGCACATTATTACTTTTTCAAATGATAAGCTTTTCCAAAATAGAAACTGGAGAAGCTTGAAATAATACCCTCAGGTTCTGTGGAGAGCTATCAGAGCTCTGCTTGCTTTACAGGAGGAGGTTCCAATTTTCGTGAGAGGACGGTTAAAATCTGGTTGAACTTCTCATATCTCTCTGTCTGATTAACTTGTGCGCCTTTGCTGCCCCATAGCAATCGCATTTGGAATTCAGTCTTGAAGATTTCACTCATTTCTTCATCGGGTTGAAAACCTAATACAAACAAGACAAAACAAAACAATTTGTTTTTGGTTCTGCCTAAAACAGTGTTGACAACAGACTGAAAATTTGCCTGTTTAAAGTAGGATCAAAATGAACTTCATCTTGCAAAGCTTTAAAACATCCCCCAAGAGAAAACACAGGCCTGCCGTATGTAAGGCAGGGCAGAGGCCCGCTCTCGAGGACTGAGCACCTTCAGAGAAAGAGTGGCAAAGCTCACTCACTACACAGGACGGAATAAAATCCATGTGCGCGAGCCACTGCAGGTTGTAGTGCTGTGAGGGGTGTTCAAAGTACCTCGGGTTTTTGTGTTGTTTTTTTTTTACAGCTTTATTGGTGTATCATTTACATGTCATGATTCACCCATTTCAATGGCACAGTTGGATTTATAATAGTAAATTTATAGTGTACAATCATCACCACCAGTTTTATATAGAACACGCCCATCGCCCTAGAAAGTTCCCTAGTAACCCTTTGCAGTGAATCCCCCAGATCCACATCAACCGCTAATCTGCTTTTTGCTGCTATTGTTTTGCCTTTTATAGAAATTTGATATAGATGGAATTACAGAATATGGACTTTTTTGTCTGGCTTCTTTCAATTAGCATGGTGTTCTTGAGATTATTCAATATTGTTGCAAGTTGTCAATTCCTTTTTATTCCTGAGTAGTATTCAGTTATATGGACCTATGACATTTTGTTTGTCCATCTACCAACTGGCAGATACTTGGATTGTTTCCAGTTTCTGAGTATTATGAATACTGTTAAGTCTTTGTGTGGACATGCATTCTCATTTCTCTAGGAATGGAAGTACTAGGTCATATGGTAAACATATGTTTACTTTTAACAAACTGTCAAACTCTTTTCCAAAATGGCTTTCCCATTTTATATTCTCATCAGTAACATATGAAGATTCTATTTTCTCCACATACTGCCAACTTTCAGTATTGCCATTCTAGATAGTGTGTGGTAGTAGTGCATTGTGGCTTAAATTTACATTTCCCTTAGGACCGATGCTTTGAATATCTTTCCATGTAGTCATTTGTCATTCCTATAAATTCTCTGGTGTGGTGTTCTTTCAAATCTTTGTCTATTCAAAGCTTATTTATCTTTTCATTGAGTTTCAAGAGTTCTTTATATAGCCTAGATATAAGCCCTTTATAGATATACAGCATGGGATGAAAGTAGCTTTACAGTTGAGAGTATACAAAAGTTTATTCTTGTATTATTATTAAATTGTTATGTTCCATACGAACAAGTGTAAACCTACTTTTGCCAAATCCTGTATGTTTGTCAGATATTTTCTTCTAATCTGTGGATTGCCTTTTTACTTTCTTAACAGTGTCTTTTGATGAGCAAAATTTTAAATTTTGATTTATCAGTGTTGTCTGTTATGGTTCATGTTTTTTGTGTCCTAAAAAAAATCTTTGCTTAACCCAAGGGCACAATGTATTTCTCCTATGTTTTCTTTTAGGAGCTTTCCACTTACTTTTACCTTACTCATATTTTGGCTCAATTATTGTATAAGATTAAGGTTTGTTTGTTTGTTTTTTATATGTAACATTTAAGAGTTCCAGCACCATTTGCTGAAAGACTCTTTTATCCAATGAATTACACTTCAACACTTTTGTCAAAAATCAATTAACAAGCACATGTGTGGGCCTGTTTCTCAATTCTCTCTTCCCTTCTATAAAAGAGAATTATCTGGTCTCCTTAAGGCCGAGCATGCTCAGTCACCTCTGTTAGAGAGGGCGACCCTCTAGCCAAAGAGTCGTACAAGCATGTGGTTCTCACCCTTGATTACAGCTGGAGGAGTCTGCTCTGTCTTTAAACGTATTCCCACCACCTAGATCGCAGGACCTTGGTAGTTCAGAGGATAATAGAAGGCTTTTAGTCCATCCTTCCCTGTGATGCCAGAATATCTTTGACAGATAACCAACCAGAGGCCAGATGACAACTTCCATTTGTTCTGTTGATAGGTTTTGAGCCCGTGCCCTGGGCTGGGTGTAGGGGCACGATGGCGAGTGAGTCCCTGTCCTTACTGGGCTCACAGTCACTTCCACGGTGGGGGCTGGCCATGGCAGCCTGTAGCGGGGTCAGCTGAGAAATACCATGAGATATCTTTAAAGTAATTTGCTGTAGAACAGCTTAAAGCACACATTTGGCTTAGGCAGCACCCAAAGTAATACATGTATTGGCTTTGTATAAGCAGGCACTCTATCCTCCGGTGAATTATGTGTTTTTATTGTTTGAGTTCTACACTGCTAACCTTGGAGAACTTTCTGAGGGGAAAAAAGTGACACAGATACATGATGCTTATACCTACAGCAGACGCAGTGCAAACTGTTCAGTCCTAAATTCTGGTTCTGAAGCAAAAGCTTTGTTTTAAGATGGAACAATAGGCCTCTCCCACCCCATATAGTTCTTAACCCCATGGATCAGACTGTGGGCCCTTGAAGAACTTTAAAAATTATATAGTGAGGAAGAGAAAATCATCATCCCTCATAACTGCCATAGAAAAGTCCTTGTTTTGGCATTTGCTTCCTTGGCGGTCTTTATGCCTGTCAGTCTCAGCCCGGCGGGCCTTCCTCCACACAGATGCCAGGCTGAAGCACCAGCCGGACTGTGGGGTGACGCCCTCCCATGTTCTCCGCTGGCTCTTCCCCAGCCGCAGTCCTGTGTGGAAGGCCCTCCCGCCTGTATCCACTCCCACGGCCTGGTTGGCCATTAAGACACACTTTATATTAATCCAAACCCAAGTATTTGTGTTTCGTGCTCTTCCCCAAGCTCTTTCAGTGCCTTTGCTTGTGTTGGACCCTTTGATACTAAGAGCAGCAGAGCTCGCTTCCCAGTACGACTGAGAGGAAAGGCACGCAGATAAATGAAGTCAAATAAAACTCCAGCTCCTCGTGTTGGCCCATCACACTCTCTAATAGTGATTATTAGAGGTTCTAATAGTGGGCAAGCTGACCGGTCCTTTTTTGACCTTTTCTCTCTGTTCTATACCAATGATCCAAGCGAATATATAAAAGAGAAACAGGGTCCTTAAGTCATTTAAGAATTGAGAGGAAGTAAGGATCAATCTATATAACAAATGGAATTCCTGTGCCTCTGTCTTTCCTCCTTGGCGTTTTTCTAATTGAGAACATCCATGCGGTTTCATTCCCTCATCCCAGTTACTACGCAGAGTAGACAGCAGCTTACAGAAATTGGCCCCTACCTTCCAGGATCTTCTCAGCATTCGTCCGGTAACTGTTTGCAGCCTCTGCCATGAGTCGGGCTGTTGCCAAATGGTTCATCAAAATCTCGCAGCTTTCATCATTTTTTTCCCATATGTCAGTTCCTTCAAAAGTGACAGCCTGCCGTTCCATTAAGGTCACAAGAGGCATCAGCAGAGGGACCGATACATTGTTTGGGAGGACACATGTGGACTCTGAAAAACAAGGGGTGAAGTTTTCTATGTCTTTTTTTTTTCAAAGTTAAGCACAGAGAATTCCGGTTCCAGAAGACGATGTAGGAGAATCCTAGACCCACCTCCTCCCATGGACACATTGAATCTGCAGCTGAATATGGAACGACTTTGAGAGAGGCCCCTATGGAAGCGGGTGGGAGAGTCTGGGACATGATCTCACCATCAACCACAGCCCCGGTGTGGCGACCCACAGTCTGGAGGGAACTCAAACCCCGGAGCTTCTGCCTGAGGAGCAAAGGGTTTGAGTCTCACACTGGGCACCCCAACTTGTGCCTGAGAGACAGGCCCCCAAACCGATGGGGCTCAAATCCATGAGACCTACAGGGCCATAATGATCTGGGAAACAGCTCTTAAAGCGTTCACATGCTCTAACTCACCTGCCCAAGGACTCTGTGTAAAGGCAGCTGGCTGAGAGGCGCTCAGACTTGATGTGAGTGAGCCTGAGGGGCAGCCCTCTAATTTAGCGCACACCTAGGGGCCTGCCGGCTGACAGGCGCCCTCTCTGCTCTTCCTCTGCCTCAGGCTAGCCAGTGGGCGCTGTCTTTTCTTTTCTCATCTTCTCTGTCTGTCTCTCTCTCAATACTGGTTCTCTCCTGCAACCCTTTTCTTCTCTTCCTCCTGTGGGAGCCATCTATAAGCTCTCCCTTGCCTTTGCTCCAGCTCACTGTTACCTCCCAGAAAGGAACTCATACCCTTGCCTGGTGTCTGATGTTTGCAGCTGCTGCCCAAGGACACCTCTACGTGGCCTGGCTCTGGTGGCCAGTGCAGCCTATGCCCCCGGGTCTCACAGGACTGTAACCAGTGGAAAAAGAGCTCTTAAACAGCTGCTAGGGCACAGCAAGAGCCAAGAGTGGCCTATGAGCTTATCATCATAACTGCAGCCTGAGGGGCAAGCTTCCAATTAAATACACAGCTAAGGGATGGCTGTAGTCCTTTGCAGAGACCGCAGAGAACGGGCACTGTCTTTGTGCACGCTCCTGCTGTGCTCCAGAGCACCAGTATCTCCCTGAGGGGAGCTTTCCCATGTGTCTGGTGCCCGGGTTTTGTGGCTGCCACCCAGGGAACGCCTTGATCACCTGACTCTGGTGACCAGGGGAGCTTGTGTTCTTCGGCCCCTCTGGACTGCAATAGTTGGAGAGACAGTTCCTGGTGGGCTCCCCTCTCCCCACTGCCCGGGGCACTGTGAAGGCAGCAGACGGAAACACACCCCTATCTTTGTGGGAAAGGCCTGTTTGCCTATCCTGGAGCTTTGTCCTGGGGGACAGGTTCCAGGTACGTGCCCAGCTAGGGGCCTTCCCAGGAGCTCTCAGGGAAGAGAGGCTGGTGGACAACACGTGTGCGTTCTCCCTCTGCCTCAGTGCAGCCACCAGTTCTCCCAGAAAGGAGCCTACACACTCGTCTAGAGCCCTGATTTTAACTGTGACCCAGAGGACACCTCCAGATTGCCCGGTGGCCAGTGGGCTTTATCTATGCAATTACACAGGACTATATATATTTGCACATATAATTCAAAATGGATTCAAGACTTAAATGTGAGACCTAAGACCATAAAACTCCTAGAAGGAAACATAGGCAGTAAGCTCCTTGACACTGGTCTTGGCAATAATTTTTTGTATGTGACACCAAAGCAAAAATAAACAAGTAGGACTACCTCCAACTAAAAACATGCTGCATAGCAAAGGAAGCCATCAATGAAACAAAAAGTCAGCCTACAGAATGAGAGGAAATATATGCAAATCATATATCTGATAAGGGATTAATATCCAAAACACATATATAAAAAATTCATAAAAACCCATAGGGAAAAAACAAAAACGAAAATAAAAAACACACTGAGGACCCAAACAGACATTTTTTTCCCCAAAAAAGAAATACAGATGATCAACAGGTATCTGAAAAGATGCTTGAAATCATTCATCATCAGGGAAACGCCCGTTAAAATCACAAGCGGTGTCACCTCACTTGTCCGTATGGCAATTATAAAAAAAAGTGTCTGTGAGGAAGTGGAGAACAAAGAACCTTTTGCACTGTTAATAGGAAGGCCAACTGGCGCAGTGCTATGGAAAATAGTATGGGGGTTCCTCAAAAAGATAGAACTACCACATGATACAGCGATTCCACTTCTGGGTATCTATCCAAAGAAGACAAGAAACATTAACTCAAAAAGATACATGCACCTCCCATGTTCATTGTAGCATTATTTACAGTAGCCAAGACATGGGAACAGCCTAAATGTCTATCAACAGATGCATGGGTGAAGGTGGTGTGGTATATATTACAACGGAATATTATTTAGCCATTAGAAAGAATGACACCCGTCATCTATGACAACATGGATTTTGAGGGCTTGTACTAAGTGAAGTAAATCAGTCACATGTGCTCTCACTTATACATGGAATGCAGAAAAACAAAACAAAACAAAAAACCCTGAGCTCATGGATACAGAGAACAGTTAGGGAGTTGCCTGAGGTGGAGGGTGGATGAAATGGGTGAAGGGGGTCAAAAGGTATGCATTTCCTGTTATAAAATGAATAAATCAGGGAATGCAATTACAGCACGGTAGCTATAATTAATATTATTGTATGGCATCTTTGAAAGTAGCTAAGAGAGTAGATGTTGAAAGTTCTCACAAAAAATTTTTTGTAACTATGTGCAGTGAGGGATGTTCACGGGACTTATTGTGATCGTTTTGCAATATGTACAAATATCGAACCATTACATTGTACACCTAAAGCTAATACAATGTTATGTCAGTTATACCTTAATTAAAAGGTAAGACAGAATGAAGTGACTGGCAGCCTGTGTCTTTTTTTAGCAACGGCAGACCTCCTACCTGCGCGGCTGTCATCTGATAAAAACCTTGATTGACACATCGACCATCCTGCAGATGACTCAGGGCCTCAGAACACGCCCTGCCAAGCACTTGATCAAACCAGAACAGGTACGACCTATTGGTCTTCCAGACACCAAGGGGGCAGCCGCCAGGCCTGCTTTGCCGACCCCGCGCTCACCTCTGCCTTCGTGCAAGATTCTGCTGAATGGCTTCAGTTGTTTCTCGTAGAGGATGGCGCTCTGGGTGTGCTGGTGTCGCAGCGCAGTCCACGTCTTTTCTAACCTTGTAATCTGGAAGAAAGAAAGGTGTTATATTTTGGAAAAGGCCATTTTTAAAATAACCTTTTTGTTAAATTGTGGAATAGATGACAGGTGCACATGATAAAAACGTCAAAGCAGTTGACTTTAGCCTGCATCGCTCTGAAAGCCCATGCCAGGGGCGACTCCTCTCACCAGTTCTGTGTGTGTGTCTGAGCGCGCACTGCCTGAAAAAGAATAAATGCATGTCATGCTACATGTATTTTTTTGTTCCTTGCTCGGAAATCATTTCATGTGAGTATATATAAAACAGCACAGAACAGCCTTATTTTGTTAAACTTCTGCATAACATTCCATTGTGTGGATAAACCATAGTTTAATCAGTCTCCTACAGATAAGAGTTTTCAACGTGTTTTTCTCTTACGAAATAAGCTTGTAAAGATTTTGCAAATGCGTACGTGTGTGAAAATATCTGGAGGATAAATTTCCAGAAGTGGAACTCCTGGGTCAAAGAGTACATGTATTTTAAATTTGGAGAGGAGCTGGCAGCTGTCTTCCGTAGAGCCTGTACCGATGGGAGGGTGTAGGAATGTGAGGTACAGCATGTTGACGTTACTCATAAGCAGTAGCGTCTGAGGCACACAGGGGCATGCCCAGGCCGGGCGATGCCGCCGCTCACTCCTTTACACTCCTGGAATAATGTCGTCATCACAGCATATGCCACCGACTCTGCCTGCCCTAAGATAACCAGTCCCCCACTCACAGCCCTACCACCAGCAAACCTCGGTGCCTGAAGTTTTCTACATGAAACAAGCAAGGGAGGCAGGGCACGTGAGCCAACTCAGGTATTTGAGGAATTTCGTTTAATCCTCGCAACACCCTAGGAAGCAGGTATTTTTGCCTTATTTTACAGATCCGAACACTGAAGAGATTAGGTGACTTGCTGCAGGTTTCACCACTGGTAAAGGGCAGAGCTGAGATCCATTCGCTTGGCCTCTGAGAGCTCCTGTGTGTTCTCTGTGAAAGGGGAGAAGGGTCGGCAGCAGCAGATTTTCTGGGAAGGGAAGGATGTGGGCTGGTCTGCTTCTGGCCACCCACATGCTGCCCTCTCTCCTCACATTCCCCTCCTCTTCCTCAGCCCTCAAGCATCCCCTTTCTGAAAGAGGCCCTTGTCTCTCAGCTAAGCCCGTATCCTGCTGGAGGCAGGTTTGGATGGTGACATACAGAAAAGACATGACTCCTCTGGGGTTTCCCCTGGGCCTACCACTTCCCTCCCCAAGCAGCGCTCCGGCTCGCCCAGGCCCTGAGCACCCTGGCGGGCTAGGTCCCCTCATTGCTGAGGTGCTCCGGGAGGGAAGAGTCTGAGGCTGCTGGATGGGGGCTGGCGGGGGAGCCACCCGCAAAGGCATGTCACTATGTTCCAGGATAAGTCCCTGACCACTGAGTTTGAAGTCACAGACACAGTGACCACGTAATGCCACAACACACCCCCTTTACTGCTCTGTGAGGAAGCTTTGGGCTGGACGCCTATGCACACAGCTTAGCTTGTTGGCTCAGCCCTAAAAACTCTCTGCAGGTTTGGATAAGAGGAAATAAATCTGAGGCAAAAGAAAAACACCTCAATGAAAAATTAGAACTCTTGATATTATAGAAGTCAGTATATCATGAAAATATGGCTGAATTTGCTTATTTCCAATATCAACCCTACGAAATTCCAGTGCACCTAGAGAACTTTGTAAACTCTTGGAATATTACATGATAATTGGAATGGACCCTCCCTCCCAAATTTTCCTGGTGAAGGAACTAAGTTGTTTGGCTTCTTGTTTTTAAGGTGACCCTTGCTTTAATGCAAGGAAACTCTGTTCCTAACATGCCCTGCAGGACGAGTGACTAGTTGTCGTCCCCAGCGGCATTGTTGGATTTTCAGTGAGCACCCGGCAGGGTCTCCAAGACAATCTGTGGCTATGAAACAGCTGAGCTAGATGGCGAGAGGGTTTGTGGTGCTCTTTGCAGACTGGGCTGTAAAGCAAGTCCTCTGCACACCCAGGGCCTGGCAGACCGGCAGCGGGAGAGCCGAATCCAAGCACAGAAGGCCACAGGGCCGTGTTCCTCTCTGGGGTCCACCTGATTTCAAGTACAGGTTTCCAGTTTTGACACTTATCCTAAAAACAGCCTGTCAAAGCAGACCAATTCAAAATGCTCGATTTCAGAAATTCTAGTTAAGGGGTTATATGGCAGGTGATTCAGAAATCTGAATTTTTTCATAAGAGAGGGTGTTTCAGGTAACTTGGGGAGCATTCTTTGAGATAAACCACTCGAGGGATTCTCAGATATAAGCTCTCAAAAATAGCTGCCTGCACACTTGATGGCTCAGATGGAAGCAGTTTCTTTCTTATACAACACACTTGCCCCAGACATATTATCCTAACTGGTTCTTCAGGAGCACTGTTCTTGAGGATGAGTCTTATTGCACATCAAAGAGAAAGCGTGGCCTGTCGGCAATTGTGCACCGTTTTTAAGAACAGCTCAAGTACTTAGGGTACTACTCGCAGCTGATTAGTCAAAGCAGCTTTCATTAAAATCCAATTTACCTTTTGAGAGTGACAAAAATCATCTGTGATTTGCTAAGCATGGGCTTGCAGACCCCTCTGCAGACCATGAAGCACACACAGGCCGTGGGGCTGCACGAAGCCAATGGGGAGTTACCTGCGGCATTTCCAGGGCTCTCATGATGGCCGAGAACGAATAGAGGTCCCCCATGGAGTCTTTCAGTTCCACCGCCACCTGGATGATCCTATTGAGGGTGGCTGCTCGGTCCTCCAAAGTGCCCGTGCAGCCCAGGATGTCCACGGCAATGCCGATGGCCATGGTGCTGTGCCTGAAAGGGAGGAGGCCAGTGGTCAGGCCCCGGGCCACCAGGACTAGGAGGGAATGAAACCAGACCAGCTGGGAGAAGGGCTGGCTTTGCACCATTTGCTGCTCTTGCCCTGAGCTGTGCCGGCCGCTCAGACAGCTTGGTTGCCGATTTCAGCAGAGACCACCCCTCCAGGCTGACTGCAGCAGGGCCGGACAGGGCCTCAGATGGAGCCCTTTGCGGAGTCAAAAAGGACAGATGCCCCAGGACAGGGCACTGCCCAGGCCTGGACCCGGGGGCATGCAGAGCACCCTCCTCTGGTGAAGTCATGTGGCTTCTTCTACCTTCTGCCATGAGAGGCCCCAGGAGCCACCAGGTCCCCCCAATGCACTGGGGAACCCTTCCTTGGGGAAACCCTGCACCAGCTCCACTGAGCCCCCTGCACTGGGGAATGGAAGGGACAGAAAGATGAGAGGATATGCTTGACCCAGAAAGGCACAAGGGTGTCAGAACAAAGAAAGGAAGGTGGAGCTATGAACGGAGCGTCTGTGGCTCTGGTCAAGAGGCCAGAAAGTGAATGCAGACGTGGGCAAAGACTGGACAGCAGGCTGGCAGGATGTCCCTGTAAGGTCGGACTCGAATAAAGGGAAATCTTGTTTGTATCTGCCTACAATCCTCCCGTTTCTCATCCTGGACTATACAGGTCGACCTCACAGACCCAGAACAGGAAGCAGCATGATCTTCTCTTGGCGTGACAATGGGACTGGCGAGAATGGGTCACAGAGCAGCCTCTTCCACGGGGGGCAGGCAGCTCAGCCTGAGATCCCTTTGCTTCCCTCTGAAAATCAGGACTGCGGAGTGGGCTGCGTGGGGCCACGGTGGCCCCAGCCACATTTTGGCCAGGTTGCTGGAGGTGAAGAGACAAGTGCTGGAGGTGAAGCCTCAATTCGTAGCATGGTTACTAAAACGCATGTCTTTGAAACTCTGGGGCCACCTTGTCCTGAAGGTTCAAAGCTAAGGATGCTACTCCATGGCCGTGCTTGCCTGTGCCCACGGGTGTGGTCTCTCTCACGCCAGGTGAATCAGGCATGTACCTAGCATTACTAATTTCTCTCGTCTACAGACATCCAGCCTAAGAAAAAGCCTTAGAAAAGTTTGTTTGAGCCAAACTGAAGCAAAATCTCAAGGGAATGAGGAAATGCTCCAGAGGATGGCAGTTTTGCAGCTTATTTTATACATTGGACTCAAAGGAGGAGACGTAAGGGAGGTCACATGAAATCCACTGGCGGTAGATCAGGGAGGCCGGAGAAAGCAAAGCAGGGCGATCTCTGACATTAGATAAAAAGCAAAATGAAGAGACACATGCTGCTTTTATGTTGGTGGGTGCAGAATAGTTAACATTTATGGTACAGAGATGGTAAGTGAGCAACAAGTAGCACTGTGGTCTCCTGCTCTGGTGCAGCGGTTGCCCCTTTGAGGGGTCGAAAAGAAAACGGCTCCGACATTTCAAAGGTATGCTGTCTTAGAGGCACAAAAACAACGGGCAGTATCAAAGTTAAAGACTGACCTTTGCCAAGGAAGCTACAGGCTTAGGACATGACTACACACAATGACTTGCTTTTAGTTAGGAATTTCTATGTTCCGACCATCCGATGTGGTTACTGTCCGTCTCTGAGTGCGTGAGGCCCGCGTGGCGGGCTTCCCCTGAGCTTGTCAGCGTCGGCGTGTGGCCCCCTTGCCGTCCACACTCCAATGTCTCTGAGTGTGTTCGTGCAAGTACGGGGTAGGGCAAAGGACGGGTTACAGTTGCGAGTATGCAAAACGCAGAGTTTATTCTTGTATTATTATTTATTAACTATTGTATTATTTTCCATACAAACAACTGTAAACCTACCTTTGCCCCACCCTGTAAGCATGTCAGCATGTATGACCTTCGGCTGTGACCTGACTGTTCCATTCCTTAGTTTCTTCATCTGTAAAATGGGAACAAGGGTAGTTGTGAGAAATAGGGGCTATGTGTGGGTATAAAAATAACTAACATGCAAATAACCCCCAGCAAATAGCTCTTGTTACTACAATGATCTCTACAGGTATATCATTGCCTCTGTATCTTGGTCCATTTCACCCTTTTGTCTCTTTTCCTTCATTTTATCTCCTTCCTGGTTTCTCGTCTTTCTTAATTAATGGATCCTAACAGAGACTTAAAGTCTATTTTTATCATCTATGGTTTATTGAAGTGTTTTGTTACCCGTTTGCAAAGTGTTAAGATTGAGCCGAACATTTTAGATGTAATTTTTAACTAAGAGTAAACTAACTTCCCATGTTGCGTTCAGTCTATTTTTTTATTCAGTGTGTTTTTTCCCCTATGTTTTAATAGCCCTTAATAAAAGACATATTTTCTACCTCTTTACAATCTGGCAGGATACCAATGGTGGACTGGATAATCTATCCATTCATTCAACCACCACTTGCCGGCAGCCTCCTGCGCATGCCGCTCTGGGAAAGAAACTCAGCCTGGCGCGTCTGCCTCAGAAGTGCCAGGGGCCGGCCGTCGGGGCACTGACGGTTACACTCAGTAGGCTTGGAATGGGTGAGGTGGTAAATTAAAAAAGGTGGTTTTGTATTTGATTTGAAACACAAGAAGATGATGTCATTTAGCCTTTCAAGACCACTCTACCCTTGACCTTTATTTAAACACATGGTAATAAAGAAAACTACTCTCCAGACTCTAGCAGGAAGACTCAAAGGTCAGCCCTGGACAGGAAACAAGCCAAGGGGTGGGACCCCAGGCAAGCGGGCCATCAGGAGAAAGAGGAAATGGACGTAGGCAAGGGTGGACGTCTGAAAATAGCCTAGAGAGAAGCCCCATCCCCACCACCCTAAGCCTGGGCCCCCCTGTCCTTCATACCTAATGAGACTGATAAAATAAGGCCTGGAACTTGGGGATTTTTCAGACTGAAATGAACCACGTGAAACACAGGGCAGCTGGTGGCACAGTTCATCTCTGCTGAAGCGGTGACCACTGAGCCCAGACAACAACAGAGGAGAAGTCAGTGGACCTGAGAAGCCAGGCCCCCAGGCTTGGGGTGGGGGGAGGATACCTGAAGAGAGAGGCTGGAATCCAGAAAAATCCGATCAGGAAAAGTAGGAAGATTCAGCAGCAGGCAGACCTACAGCTGTCCAAAAGCATTCAACAACAGGGATGCCTGAACAAAATCAGCGCGGACCATTTCCTGGTCTCCTGCCCCCCCAGAAGCATTCCATTCTGCATTGTGTCTTCTGTGGGATGCACCTGCGGCTGCAAGGCCAAGGCAACGGGGGCATTGCAGCCGCGTTATCTGCCAGGTAACCCGGATGGCAGCCGTGTTGATCCCCAGGCTACTTGTAAGGCAGTGTTCACTTTCTGGGGGCTGACCTCCTCGGGCTACACTGTCCACTGGCCATGCCTGGCCATTTACGCTTAAACCAGGAAAGAGTAAAATAAAGCATTTCATTCCTCAGCAGCCTAGTGTGGCGAGCGGCTGCCATAATGGGATGAGGGCAGCTCAGCCTCCCCAGAAAGCTGCTCTGATGGCGCTGAGACCCACAACATCGTGGACAGCCATGGGCAGGGGCAATGGCGCTTGGGGCCCCGGACTCTGAAGCGTCGCTGCCCTCTTCTCACAAAAAGCCAGGACCCTGGCTGTCCCTTAGAACTCGCGTGTGTGTCATGGCAACTGGAAGTTGGTTGGAAAAAAATAGAAAGCCACAAGGTAGTCTTGTCCAAATCAACTGTCTTTTTTGTGTATGTCAGAAAGGCCAACTTCCATGGTAATAAGATAATCAAATCTTGCACTTCTTTTCTTAAGAATATGCCTTGCTATTTCTATCTCATTTCTTAACATGCAATGTTCCTGTGTGTGGGTTTAAGCGAACAGCCAGGGCTCTGGCTTTTTATGAGAACAAGGCAATGAAACCTCAGGGGCTGGGGGGACAAGGACCGAGTGCTGTCATCCTCTGACCTCTGATCCCCCATCTGTCCACCCCGCAAAGGAAATGTTCAGACTCTGTTCTTCCCAACCTTTCTCACGAACTCCCACTTAATTCCTAACAGCAGTCCGGAGCTGGGACGGGAACATGTTCTCTTTGTCCCCGGACTTCCTCTGAGCTGTCTCTTTGTACATCTCCAGGAATTCTCTGGCTGAGGCTTTTGGGGGAAGTTGGCCCGGGTCACACATCCTTGAGGGCAGTGGAGGTGTGGAGCCTCTCTGCTCCAAAACCTGCTGCTCTGAGAGCCAGGGAGGAATGCAAGGGGCCAGCAACACAGAGGACAGCCCTGCTCACCTTTCAATTATGTCCAGACGCAGCTGGTGGCCGTGAGGCAAGGTGATGAGTTCCAGCCCTGAGCTCACGCCCATGTTCTTCCTCATCTCTTCAGAGACGTCAAGAATCCTAGCGACCTGTTAAGAACACAAATTGAAATACACTGGATCAGGAAGTGGGCATGTGGAAGGAAATACACGGAGCGGGAGCAGCGTGGACGCACGTCCTGCCGTTCTTTTTGAGCAGCAGCATCTGAAAAGACGTTTTTTATACGTGATATTTGGAGGCTTTTAATACACATACCGGAATATAAAATCTGGGAGGAAAGCCCCTAAACTGGTCTGCAGAATCTGCAAATCTGGTGTTTCTGCCCAGCCAGAGACGGCGCAGTTCCTGGAGCTTCTGACAGAAGCTGGGTCCTGCTGCCGACGCTCTGCCATGGACAGCAGGGCTGTGTGCCTGTGCCCGGCCATGGAAGAGCGGAACTGCGTCCAAGCGGCCCTCTGCCGCGTGCTTCGCCGTTCATGTTCTCACTTAATGGCAGGGCTGGCTGCAATTACCCGTAATTACGCCTCTCCGGGGCTCAGTAAATGCACCATACACCTGGAAACCATTAGAAATGTGCATAGAGATTTGAAACCCGAGGTCACAAACACACCCACCTCTCCCCTAGAGGGTTTTCCTTAAAGAAAATCTTCGGTTTGTCCCAGCCAGCTCGCCCATCTCAATTCTAGTGCGTAATCACAATTTATCAGAACCAGGTATTTGTTCATCATTTATAGTTACTACACGTTGCCTTAAAATGTTGCAACAGACTCAACGCATCCCTAAAATGGGACTAATGATGCCTCAGTGCCCTGATGTACTGACAGTGCAACCAGCGGATACTGACACCGAGCCTGGACACACTGCAGGCTGGGGACAGTTCCTCTCCTTGATCTGTGGAGTTGTCCTTGAGCACAATTATCCTGGTCATGTGAACATTTCAGATGTTTTCAAAATAGATTCCCAAAAAACATCTGGAAGTTTAGCTGTTATTATTAATCCTGACCCTTAACTTCAGTGGTTGAGCAAGGATCTGCTGGAGCCCTGGGGAAATAAGCCTGTGGAAATTAGCTATTCAGGAGTGGACCCCAAAATTGGATGCGGAATTCACACCATGCTCTCTGAGCCTCAGTTTCCCCCGCTCAAACACAACTGCTAAGTTCACCTTTCTCAATGACTTGGCAAAGGATCAAACGAGCTTAAAACCCCAAAGAACTATTTGAAAATACAGGCTGTGAATCATCGACCATGTAGAAGGCGGGAGAAATCCTGGCCCGATCTCTGGGAAGAGATTGATGCCTTGACCATGGCGGCCCAGATGTGCACCCCACCACCTGCGTCCACAGCACTTCACTCGCTTGTTTAGGCAGCTGTCCTGTCAGAGGCTCCAAACCCGGCACATCTGTGAGGCGTCCTCCGTCCCACGCATACTCTGTGTAGCAAGATTCAAAGGCTTGTCATAGAGTCAGTTTTGTTCTGGAAGCACTAGCATCCAGAGCAATCCCTGCTCTGATAGAGAAGCCTCTAGTCTATTTTCCTTCAGTGTAAGCATCCAATTCTCTGGTCCCTTTCCTGGGGTTTACCAGGAAATACCAATTCCTTCTTGCCCTAAGGCTGAGCTATGGGACCAGGGGTCTTGTGCTCACACTGCAGCGCCTGAGTCAGGTTCCCCAGGAGACCCCCAGGGCTGTGAGGCTCACAGACACACAGGAGGGATGAACATTTCTAGAGCATTTGCTATGAACTGGACCCGGCTGGGCGACATCCGTGCCCACGGTGAGGCATTCCAGCCTCCCCTGCTCGTCAGCTCTCAGCTACCCTGGCTCTGCAGGCTCCCCCAGCTCTGCCTGGCCCTCAGCCCGCTGCTTCCGGCTGCAGCAGCAACCCAGGAGGCCCTGACGGGGCCATGGCCTGCCTCCCCCACAGCTGCCAAGAGACCTTCTAAACTGCAATGAGATCGCCTGGCTCAGCTCACTGTCTCTGTTGCCTTCAGCAGAAGACTGACTGGCACTATGTCCTCACAGGCCTCTCTCCCTCAAGAGTTCCCTAAAGCGCTGCACAGTGCTTTAAAGACGGCAACTGGGAATGAGCCCAGAAGTAAAGACTTAGAAACATGGAAGACCTACCAGGACCTCCCCCACCCCACCTTCATTGCCCACACAGAGTGCATCTTCCATGAGCCAAACCACCCTACCATGGCTTTTGATGGCTGAGTTTCTGCATGTGTGCATTGCCTGCTGCCCGGAAGATGCTTTTTGCATTCTTCACCTGGCTAACTCCTTTTCAGCCTTCAACACCCATCCCAGGCACCCCACCCCGATCACCTAGCTGCCCCATGTTTAGAACCCTGCCTCAGGGGCCCCACAGCTCCTGTGCCTTCCTCTACAGAGCATTTCCCAGCGGGGTGGTGGTCTGAATTCCTCTATCACTGTCCCTCCCTGCTTCCACCACCGTGACCTGGCCTGGCCCGTAGCAGACACTGGGTCAAGGCTGAATGCTTAACACTATCAACACTTGCTTAGCCTCATCCTGGGCCAGGCACAGTACGGAAGGTGTTGGTATTATTCTCCTCCTTTGACGGGCAGGGAGAGAAAGGCTGGGAGAGGTAAGGAGAGGCAGGATTAGATTCAGGCAGTTCATCCCCAGAGGCCAAGCTCTTAACTACAGGCCCTCACTTCCAGCCACTGCAAAGACAAGGGGGTGGGAGGAAGGCTCCAGGTGAGTGAGGCCAGGGCTCTTGGTGCCCTTTGCTGGGTGGGAGCAGGGCGGGACACTGCAGGCCGCCTGCGGGTCTCAGGACGACCCACAAGTCTGTTGGCCTTCCTGGGGGCCAGCCCTGGGCCCCATGCACCGCCTGGGAACCAGCACTCAGGGGCCGCCCCGTGCATTCTGAGCTTTGGGGCGGCCCCGCCTGGCCACCGCTGTGTGTGGAGCGGGTACCACAGCCCTCCTCTGATTGCCCCTCTCAGGGGGACTGGTTGCGCCTGTTTTGTTGGCAGAACCCCGAAGTTGGTGGTTCCAGGAAGAGGAAATGGTGTGGACTCAGGAGGGAGGGAGGAAGGCTAAACGGCCCTGCCCTTGGGGAGGGGCAGGCAGGCTCCTGCTCGGGGCTCTGTCTTCCGGGTCTTCCGGGGGTGGGGGCTGAGGGCAGATGGGGCGGTGCGGCTGAGCAGGGGCATGATGCAGAGCAGAGTGAGAGCGAAGGCAGGCTGCGCATTCCTTCTGTGGAGAACAGACTCAGAATCTAGCCTCGTGGCTGCCAGAGTGGGGGAGAAGTTTCTAGACCCTCCTGCAAAGAGGGCTCGGGCATCTCACCTTCCCCATTACTGCCAAGCCCTGCTTGAGGCCACATGCAAGGGGGACCCATTTCCTGCTGGGAATCAGGCTGTTTGGTCAGCCCGGGCCCAGGCTTCCCCAAGGAGCCTCCTTTAAGGAGAACCCAGATGGGTGCGCGCCAGGCTGCTGGCCTGTTGACGTGGTTCTGCTCTCAGATCCAGGGCTCAGAGTGTTACTTACTAGAACAGGAACCCTAAATCCTCGTACTGTCCAAACAGGTTTAGCTAGCTTTAAAGTGAGTAAGAATTTCACCGGACAAATTATCTGACCATTGGTGAGCATGGCCCAAGGACACTGAGCCGACCATGTGAACAGCCCCGTGCTTCCCCAGCAGCCCCGTCCTGGCTGTCTGCTCAGGGGCCCCCCGACCCCACGCTCACCCCACCTCCCAGGCCTGGCCATGAGGTCAACTGAGTGATCCCTCAGTCCTGTTTTCAGGAAGGGGTCTGTTACCCCAAAACAGCCAGCAATTACCTAACATTCCTCAAGGCACTGGGGGGGCCTGCTGCCCCCCAGGTGCGCCCTCAGTCGCCTGGGAAGCGCGGGGGAAGGGGCTGCTCAAAGGCTAGCATTCCTGCTGTGATTCATGACCTAGGCAATTCATTTTGGAAAAGCCAGTTCCTAAATAAGCTCTGACCTTTGCTGCTTGTTGACTTCACTGAGCCACAAAGGGAGACGGGCCTTAAATCTCACAAAAGCCTTATCTGTTGCTCAAACGCAGGGGTCAGTCTCTTTATGCTGAGGAGCTGGCTGGGCACCCACCCCCACCCCCAGCCTGAGACACCTGTTTTCTAGAAATATCTCTGAAAAACAAGGCTGCCTTGAGGCCACATATGAACAAGAGAAACCCATAGCTACAACAAAGGTTTCCAATAAAAAATGATGATGATGTAAAATATATATATTTAGTCACACGGAAAGATAGCCATGTCTTGTTTGATGAAATACGCGGGCTTTGGAATAGTATGCAGATATGGGTGTTATTTCCATGGTAACCAGCCAGACCTGCATGCATTTATTTACCCATACCTACTTGCTGAGAAAATGTTAGCAATGGCAATCGCCAGGAAACTGGATTGTGTGTGATTTTAATTTTTTTCTCTTAATCTGTACTTTATAATTTTCATAAATTATATTTTATACCTTTAAAACTATAACTGACTCATCATTTTTCTAAATTATACAAGTATTACTTATTTTAAAAATCAAGGTAACATTAAAATGTTTATTTATCTCAAAGACCATTTCAGTAACAATAAATAATGTGTGTATGTGTTTATAATGATAAAAAAAATAACCAAGGCTCTGTTTCTCCAGAAACTACATTTTCACCTACACACTATTTTCCTTTGGACTTGACTTCCTCAGTTCGGGCAGATTTGAGGCCAGGGTAGAATTTGAAACTTAGCACCAGCCGGGAGGAGGACTCTGCCGGGCGCCAGCCACCGGTAGGGGCGGGGAGAAGGAGGCGTGGCCCTGGCAGCAGCCTGCCATCCCTCTGTCCAAGGTGACGTTTACAAGCTTCCTACCCGGCCGAAGGTTACCCTGGCCTGTGGTTCCCACCCCTTAAATAAATCTCCACGCTCGGGTTCTTTTTGGCCTTTTCCTGTGAGCAAAGCACTTAAAGGGTAAGGCGAAGTGACATGCAGACAGATCCCCCCTTCCGAACTTTCGAAACCCAGAATGAAATTCCGAAATTCTGCCCACCCAGGTACCTACCTTGCAGTCCATGCTCAGAATGTGCTGGGCAATGACCTTGGGGTCGTTGCTGGTGAACAGCTCTTTTGCACGCTTCAGCATCGCTGTTTCCAGGGGCTTGTTTTCAGGAGGAAGGAGCTTCGACTCAAAGTCATTGGGCCTGAACGAGGAGGCGGTCTCCAGGAGGGGCGGCACAAACTGGCCCCCATCATCCTGCCCCTTGTCCACCTGCGCTGCTGCCGGCGGCTCCTGAGGCCTTGCCCTCTCATCGTCATCAAGAATTAAGTAGTTGGTGCCCGAGTTGCGCGGACCGGCTGCCCCATTCTGCCTGGCTGTCAGCAGCTCCACGTAGCTGTCCTGGGCGCCAAAGGGCAGCCTTGCTCCCCTGTCGCAGCCTGGGGTGCAGGCTGGGTTCAGTTCACAGTAGTTGGCCTCTGAGTTGAGCCAGGGGGATGGAGATGGGGGAGCCTTGAGGAAGGGCGCCTTGCAGGGCTTGGGGGGTGGCTTTGGGCACAGCTGGCTGTCGGAGCCCCTCAGCGCCTCCCCTGCCCTTGCGTCCGAGGAGACCCTCCGAACCACCGCTGGGCTCAGGGTGGGCTCGCTGCCCGTCCTGAAAACGGGTGAGTTAGGGCAGGCGCCCGTGTCCACGCCTGAGGACTGAGGGGGCACCTTACAGCCTGGAGAGGACAAGAGACAGTCAGAAAAAGCTCAGCTTTGTGGAGAACACAAAACAAACCAAACTGGAGTGACAGCGCCCCAGCCCTCAGCTCATGCCACTGGGCATGAATGCCCACCCTCAAAATACAACTCAGTATGACCACCCCATGCCCAATTGAAAGAAACAAGTCTCAGGCGTTTTGAGGCAAGTTTGAGGCGTTTTGAGACCGCACAGGTTTGGGGGAATTTAAATCCCAGTGACCACTGACAGCTGGGCTGCCATGTCATTTTATGGTCAGAGTAGGTTAGGACAGTCAGAGCAGCAAAAAATAATGAGTCTGGAGAGCAGTGAGTCAATTAAGAAACTTGTCTTTAGCCGCACAGCATAAAGGGCTCTGAGTCACTCGCAAAGGCAGAGTGGATCCCAGCCCACTTTAAGGGACAGTGAGAGCCACACATTGGGACGAGAGGGAAAGACGTTGCGGTGGCCCACATAGAAGCAGTTTAAGGGGCACTGGGAGAGTCACCCTGTGGTCCCCAGGAAGGTCAGTTATAAAAACAATGAAAAACAATCCCATGGCTACTAACATAATTGCTTGCTTGGTGTCCCCACAACCCACGCCTCTCATTCTTGTGGCTGCGAAGAGAGAATGGAGAGGAGAAAGGGTCTCTGGACAGCTGCTCCACCAGGAGCGCCAGGGCCAGCCGCCCGCCCTGGCTCCTGGGAGCGGGCTGCGGGGCCAGGCTCATCTGGCACGAAGACCACTGGTTAGCGAATGGGCTTGGAATCAGCACACCTGAGTTCAAATGCCGGCTTAGCCGCTTAACTGATAGGTGCCTCTGGACAAGGTACTTAACTTCTGTGCCTCAGTTTCCTCAGCCTTGAAAAGAGAATAATCATGCCCGCCTTGGGAACTTGTTACGAGGCTTTAGGGCTAGCATACATAAAGCGCCCAGCTCAGTGATTCATATCTGGGTATAGTCTCACAAACCTCCTGCAGGCAGGGAGCCTTAAGTCTTTCTCAAATTAGGTGAGCAGAGAAAATAGCCTGGAGGAAATCGGGATAACACTGCCACCCCCCTCCCCACAAATTCCCAACGACCTACTGATCGGCAGGTAGCTCTCCGACTGGTGGGCTTTGAGGGATAAGGCTCTTCGGTCCTGCATGTGATCCAGGCAGGCAGGCTGGCTGCCGCTCTTCTCTTTATTTCTGAAGCAAAAGGCAAGCGGGGAAGAAACCTATCATTAAACCGTAAAACCTTGAGGCAACATCACAGAAAGACTGCCCCGAATGAACGAGCCACCGCCTACCCTAACAGTCCGGGAAGGCCTGCTGGTGGAGCACATGTCTCATGAAGGTGACTAATCCATGATGGTACCGTGGGCTCCATCCCCGCGTCCCCACGACCTGTCCAGCTAGGTCCTGGGAAGCCTCCTCCGAGCCTTTCCAACCAGTTGATCAAAGCAGGGTAAAGGTTTCAGAATACCTCAGAAAAATCTGATGAACTGGAACGTGTCCTTTTAACAGAGCCTAAAGTTATTTACAGACCCAGGAGAAATGACTTGTTTAAATACGTGCAATTCCGCTGTGACATAACAGTGTCACAGTTAGTTTCCATTTCAGTGCAAACCTCAGGTCTCCCAAATAATCCACAGGATCACCTGGGGCGACTGTCATACCCGTCCTCCTGGATGCACCGGGGACCCCACAGCCAGCCTCGCTCCTGCTGAGCCGGGTACAGGGAGGAGCGTGGGTACCCATGGTCACTGAGTGGTCGCTGGGAGGCACAGAGCACGGCCACCCAGGCAAAAGGTGGAACAGAGCTCGCGACACAACTAGCCAGCATTCCTTTGTCCTTTGCCAGTTTAGATTGGGCATTTCTCTAATTAGTGCCGAGAAAGAGAATCTCTCTTTTGCTACAAGAGAAAGCTCTGTACCGGCCAAGTTGTAATGACCTTTAATCGGCCCTCCCACAAGCTTATGTTACAGAAATCACAAAGTTTCTTCCTACCTTCGCAAGCACCAAAGGAAAAGAACCAAATAATCCAAAGGAAAAAAAAAACAACCCACCCCAAACTCCCAGCCGCAGAGAAATTCCAGCAACCCCTCAGAGATAAGTCAGGGCAGAGGGCAAATTCCAAAAAGGCAATGGCTTCTGAAAAGTGATACTTAAGCAGTGATCACCAGGAGAAGTAGGACTCCACTGGCCAGAGCGCCAGCCTGGAATGCAACCTGGCTGACAGCACACACCTTTGCCCAGGCCGGCCGCCAGCCAGCCAACCAGCAGGTCCAAAGACAGGGAAGGTGCAGGAGCCAAGGAAGTGGGGAGGTGGGCAGGGCCTGGGGCCACTGCTGACGTTGAGCCTGCCCCACCCCCACGTTCAGGCATTTCTGGGCCTGCAGCCTGTGCCCCGAGGAGGTCAGGATCAGGAAGCTTAGGGCGCTCTGCTTTCAAAGGGCAATCGGAGGAGGTGCTCTCTCAGGCCTGTTCACTTAGAGACTCTTTCAGTTTTTCTTTCATCTCTTATCTTTAAAAAATAATTATATTTTAAATCTGGGTCTCTGAAGGCAGACCAGGAGGCCTTCCTCCCAGAGCCACGCTCAGCAGGGCTTCCGTGTGCTGACAAAGACACTCTGGCTCAGTTCACAGCATTAACTCCCTGTTCATCAGCTGAGCAGCCAACCTCAACTCCCAAAGTAAACAGAAGAAAAGGTACCCACCTTCTCAATATTTTAAGGGATCTCAAATCCAATCTTATTACTAAGCAAAGAATTTCTAAATGCCTTAGATAAAAGCTCTTCCTCCCTTCCTACAACTGCCCTCGCTGTCTCATTCGACGGCTGTCCAGAAATAAGAATTATCATTATATTGTCATTATTAACATTTCCCTAGCACTTACTATGAGCCAACACTGTCTAAGCACTTTGCATAGCATAACTCATTTAACCCCCACGAGCCCAGCCTTCCCAGGTGAAGGAAGTGAGGCCCGGAGCAGGCAGGCAGCCCGCCCAGGGCTGACCAGGTGAGGGGCGGACCAGCACTGGTGTCCAGGTGGGCGGGGGCCGCAGCCAGATGCTGACTCACTGGAGCTTCCCAGCAGCACAGTTGTAATATGTGTTACTCAGAATCTTGTATTTTACTTCTGAACTTTTCTATTCTAGAGACTGCTGTTTGTGCCACTTCCTCCTGGTCCAGAAAGAAAACCCTTAAGTGGAATAAAATACTTTGGCTTAAGCGTGTGAGCTCAGATGCAGGGAGCCAGAGAAGGGAGCTGCGTAAGGGGATGACGTTGATCTTCTCCTGCCAGGCCTGCCTCTCCCTCCTTTCCTGGCACAGTTTAGATTCTGCGCAGAACACGAACTAGGAATCTTAGCTCCACGGGGGACAGGTCCCATCCACCTACAGGGCACTGAGAGCCGACGGCAGGGTGCCTTGGTCCAGTGCCCAGCTCGCTGCACTCTCCCCTCCCCATTCCCAAAGGTTCAGGCTGCAGCCGAGGCTCTTGATGTCTCTTCTCTCCTCATTGAGTCACGCACCCTTTCCATGTGGACCAAGCCCTAATCTAAGCCTGCAGGCCCAGCTCCCCTCCTGACAATACCCCCTCCCCCGACGTTGTTGCTGACCACCAGCACTCCGCAGGCACACAGTCATATCTCAGGTGGAACAGCTGGTTTTCCCTCCAAAGTCCACCTTCTCTGGCCCCTCTTGTGGGAGCCGACTGGCCTTCTCCGCCTTCCTCACACTCAGAAGTATCCTGGGAAGCCTGTACCTCCTGACTCTCCCTCTACTCCACCCACGTAGCCGGACCCTCCACCACTCACTGACCTGGTCTTCCAAGTCTTCTCTTTCCTTGCCCCTCTTGCACATCACTGTCTAGTTCCATTCTTAGGACATCTCATTCACCATGTCGAGTCTTTGAGTTTCCCTCAAGCCCTTTAGCCTGGAACTGAGGCCCCCATGATCTGGCCAGGGTCCCCTCTAAGCCTACCCCTGCCTGCCCCTTCCATGGACCCCTTGCTCCAGCCCCACCATTTACTCATTTCGAGCAACCCTTGCCCCTTTCTAGCTCTACCCTTGTGCTCACGCTGAGCCCTACCTGGAACACCCCCTTGGCCGCGTCTGTCCGAGTTCACCCTAACCTCAGACCAGCCTGCCTCCCACCGCCTTCATAAAGATCTCTCCTGCCCAGCCCCCCTTCCTCAGCAACTGCATCATTTATTTTTGGCAACAACTTGATTGGGAACGGGTCATGCACTGCCTTGTGACAGCTATCCCAGAAACCCTTGGCATCACAGTAACATCTTTTCTTGTTCCTATTCCAGGGTGAGCTCCTCATCTGCCTAACTACGCCTGGACGCGTTCAGAACGCCCCTCACGTCCCAACACCACCTGAAGAGGCCCTGACCCACCTGAGGAGGTTTCCTCTGGGCAAGCTCGGCTCGCGGGCCTGTGCGCTGCCCATGGTGAGGCTCAGCCTCTTGGCCACGTCTGGCCTTCCCTCCATGAGGCTGCCCTCCCGGGCTCGGCCAGGGGAGGTGCCATAATGCTCCTCCAGACACCTCAGGGGCACCGTCCGGTTGATGGGCTGGAAGATGATGGCTCCACTCTGCTGGGAGATGGGCCGGCGATTGCCCACGTAGCAGCGCACCAGGCCGGGGATGGAGTCGAAGCTCTCCATCTCAAACTGGTACTGTACGCGGCTGTAGGCCTCGCTGAGCCGAAGGACTGTCCGGTGAATCTTGAAGTGCTGAGCAAGGTTCTTCCACTGAGAGGTCAGAACAAAGTTTCCAGGGCTGGACAGAGAGTCTCGAACCAGGAAGTCACCATCTCGCTGCACGAGGTTTTCTGCCACCTTGGGGACAAAATGGTGAGTGAGGAGTGGGGAGGGCAAGCTGACATTCTTTTTAAAAGCTGCATTTCTCCTCCACTTCTTTGGCCATCAGAAGACAATGCCATTTTGTCTTTGCTTCCTCAGTTGGTTCTTGGCTTGTTCAAATGTCTAATTCTTAGAAGACCCATTCATTCATTTAAGTGCTGCTTGCTGACCACCACCTACGTGCCAAGCGCTGTTGTCCGCACTGGGTTTACAGCAGTGAATGAGGCAGACTGGAGTCCCCACTGTCATGGAGCTTCTATTTTACTGAGAATAAATAAGCAATGGGTATGGTATGGCAGGTGTATAAAGTGAAGGAAAAAGTAGACCAGGAGTTAAGAAGTGCTTGGGCGGGACGGCGGGGCGGGGCGGGGGTGGATAAGGGGATGAGTCGTCAGGAGGGTGTCATGAGATGACATTTATGCGCACCTGAAGGAAATAAGAAAATTCGTGTCTGGCTGGTCTGATCTCCCTACCAACAATTCTGAGCATGGCCATTCCTTGCTGGAGGGCCTGGAACAAAGTTGGGCCAAGATCCCTCATCTCACAGTCAATGGGAGGTTTACACATTTACCTATATAATATATGCAAAGCAATAGTTTAGTGGAACACAGTAGTTACTCAAAAATAGCTAACTATGAGGATGCTGATGTTTCTAGAAAAACGAGAATTTATACTGTGGTGCATGCAGCATGATCATTTCAGGAGCCAGACTGCCTGGGTTTGACTCTGGCTCTGCTGTGTGACTTTGGACAAGTTACAAAGTCTCTCTGTGGCTCAATCCCATGGTCTGTAAAACAGGGACAGTGTTACCTACAAGGCAGCTACAAAGACTTTAAAGGAATAGAGTGTTAGCTATAACTATCATTATTGCTACAGTGTTCAGTTATCCAGATGGGAATGATTTCTAGCTGAAAATTTACTTTTATGGCAAGTAGAAAACAAACCTTATGATCACAATGAGGCGAAGTATGTGGTGACAGTCATAGATTTTTATATGCTTTGACAATTTTTCCAGGCCATTCCAACATTTGATCAGTTAGCTTAGAATAGAATGCTACCATGGTTACTTTAAAATTGCATCTTTGCCTTAAAAAAATTTTTTTTTCACACAGAAATTCCATTCTTTGGAATTGAGCCTGAGGAAATAATTACAGTCGTGAACATAGCAGTTATCTTAAAGGATGTTGGTCAGAGTGCCCAGTAAATAATGGTGCATGTGTACAATGGACATACATACAGAGTAGAATGGTGTAGAATACTTCATAGCTGGAGAAACTTCCCAGGGTCTATCATTAAGTGGAGAAAGTGGGCTACCAAAAAGTATATGGTGTGATCTCATACTTGACTTAGAAAAGTCTGGGAGGATTTATATCAAACTGTTCATAGTGGTTATCTCCAGGACAGAGAATTATGGGTAAGAATGTAATTTTCTTCCTTTTTTGCTCCCTGGATTTTATACAATCAAATTTAACCTAAAAAAATGAGGGGATAAAAGGATTATTTCTTTGATAAGTGCTGAGAAATCTGCTTCATTGCAAAAATAATTCAAGATCTATGCCCTCCCCCTCCCCCACCCCTTTCCTGTCGTGTGGTCTTGGGTGAATGACTAGCCAGATCAGGTGATAATAACAGCCCAAGGAAAATTCTGCTCTTTAATTCTGTACTTATTTCATTTTCCAATCTCTATATTATTAAACAAACAAACGAAAAAAACCCATTATTCATGGTGATCACTCAAACAACAATCTCACAGAGTCCATTCATGGCCATGAGTCTGTGGTCACTGATAGGGTTCCTCCTCTTCTCATCTCTGGGCCGGGGGTTGGGTGGTGAAGAGGTGCCGCCCCCATCTGGGCACAGGGGCCTTGCTGCTCTGTGCCTCCCCCCTCAGTGATAGCGCTCTCCTTATCTGAAATGAAGCCACTGCCTTAGGAAGGAAGCAGGCTCCAAAGGGCATGAGGGTGCAGGCAGCCAGCCAATACTTGAATCATTGGAACCACAGCCTGGCCTTGCGCTACTGAGGTACCACCCTGTGGCTGCTGCCTCCTGCCTGCTCCGTGTTTGCAGACCACAGGAACACCTGCTTCTTCCTCATCCACTTACCAGGCATGTGGAAATGTACTTTGGTTTTCTGACCTTAGCTTTTTCCAAGGTGTCCTTAGAAGAAGGCCACTTTATAGTATTTGTTTTGGGCTAAACTGGGGCTGGCTCCTACATGGCCTTGGTGTATGACCCTGCAGGGTCGTCGATTTGGGTGTTGTCTGAGAAAAGCTGGGTGTGTGCGGGCAGGCAGGAGGCAGGTACCTGTCGGGGGATGCGGCCGTGGTACCAGGCGTGGCTGCGCAGGTCCTCGCTGCTCAGCAGCAGCTCCTCCTCCAGTTCCTTCTTCAGCCTCTCGGGGGTTCTGTCCATGCCGTGCCTCTCCTTGGAGAACTGCAACACAGGGCAAACAGTGACCTCCCATCCTGCCCAGGACAGCAGGCCTTGCCTGCTGGAGACGACTGCCCCCCCTGGTGGTCGGCTGCTTTGCTAATCAAACCGGTATATGCCTAAAGCCCTGTTCAGGTAGGGGAACCTGGATCATGATTACAGTTAGCTGCAACCTTTCAATTCTCTGGCTGTAAGTATGCAGCAAAATTTTCACCTGCACATGGGGACTGAGACAGGGGAGTCGGCTGAGCTGTTCCTTTTATCAGTCTACTCAGGTAGCAGTTAGAAACACGGGGAGCTGGGCAGGGGCGAGAGAGAGAGAGAGAGAGAGAGAGAGAGAGAGAGAGAGAGAGAGAGAGAGAGGTGTGTGGGCATAAGGCACATCACGGCTGCGGGGGAGCTTCCTCATTCTCCCTCAGGACTGTCCTGGGAGCTGAAGCTGGAGAGGACAGCGGTCCCCAACTGGCCCATGGTCCTGGGCCTGTCCGATAGCGCTGCCCACAATGCGGTCCCTTGGCTGGTAGTGATGGCTCTGCACTCTTTGCTACTGGCAAACTCCAGCTCAGAAATTGAGTTGGCCTTTAGAAACTTTTAGCTGTGACCTTGGACAGAGTAATTTTATGTTTCTTGAATCTAATAATAGAAGTCTAGGTCTATATTTTGTATGTCTTTTTAATTTCATTTTTCTAATATTTTATTTTGAAGACAGATTGGAAGTCAAAACTCTAAATCCAGACAGACTAACTGGTCCTTCCCCTCAGATAGTTTGAGACTCCCTGATGTTGGCCACTGCGCAGCGGCCAGGGAAGGCGGTCTGGGTGGGCCACACTGGCTCTGGTTTAATTTAGAAACCACACCCACTTACAACTTGTGAACAGAACTTGGACACCTGCCTGGTTCCCAGCAAAACCAGGCTCAGGGACGGCTGGCTGAAGGTCAAGGGAGCAGGAAAAGGCCATGTCCTTGTGTTTTCCCAAGTTCCCCTGGTTGGCCTCAAAAGCCGTGAAGAACACAAAGCTATCTTCATCACACTGCTCCGTAACTTTGCAGGAGGAGCCCCCCAAATCCTTCTCCACTGAACAAAAAGGAAAGCAGATGGGATTTCATAGCTGGATTCCCATCCTTGAGCCTTTCTGGGCATGTTGGCCCCTGAAGGCACTGGCCGCAGAATGAATGACTGGGCCACATTCAAGGTGGGGCTCCTGTTTACTAATTGTTTACGAGTCCCTCCTCCTCTTCCCCACCATTGTTCTTTTCACAGTGCAGGCACTGGGGAGGGTTTGAGTGCATCTCAGAGAGCCTGATGCTGGCTGCCCGCAGGAGTTAGCAGTGCTGGCTGACACTGTCTGCCCTGATCATTAGTTATGCACAGGTGCTTCTGGAGACAGCTCGCTGTAAAGATTTGTGTGTAGAATGCAGATTGTCAACCAGGCTACGTTTATGGCTAGTTTATTGCCTGCCTTGCTCCCACTAGATTTTAAGTTTCACAAGAGCAGAAACGCATGTGCCTTCTTCTCAGCTGCCCTCGAGCAATGCCTGAATAATTAGGCGCTCCGCATGCACTGAATGGATGAACACCTCAAAATGAGGAAGCTCTGTGACTTTTCTTAGTCAGGAAGATTCTCTTCTTCTCTCTCCAATTATTTGAAGCCCTATTTTAGCTGGGCATATGGACAGGTAGCTGAAGGATGACATCTTTAGCTACGTGACTAAGTTCTGGCCAACGAAGAGTAAATTACAGCGTTGGTGGCGCTTCTCAGCTGAGACACGATGGCTGGAGCCACAACACAGTCCTGAACCATGAGGAGGAAGTCACACCCTAGGGGACCAGGAGGCATGAACTAGCCGGGGTCCCTCATAGCTGTGGGGTCGTCATCCCAGCTCTGGGTTGCCCGCCTCCAGGTCTTCCATGTGATCGCCTGCCTTGTTTAAGCCTGTTATTTTGGGTGTTCCTGTCACTGGCAGCTGAACGAAATCCCAAGGCCACTGTGACCCTGGGCCCTCTTTAGCCACCCTGACAGTCTGTGTAGGCCCAGCCCAAATCCCTCGTGCTGCGTCCCCGGCCCACCTCTCCTTGGTCAGAGCTCTTATGTATGTGGAGATCGGCAGATCCCGTCCTCCGTGTAACCCTCCAGGGACAGTGCACACTGCTGCATTTTTCTCTGGGTTCTCCTTCCTCCCCAGTGCCCAGCACCCAGGCCTCCACCACCTACCTCCTCCTCCTTCCCACCTCCACCACTTACGCTTTCTTTCTCAGCATCTCTCATAAACAGTAAGGTAATCTTAGCATTTTGAATACAACAAGCTTTCACTCCAGGTTCTGAGATAGTACCGTTTTACACTTGCTACCAAAAATATAAAATCAGCTATCTTTTTACTTCTGTCCTAACTCCTTAGAAGAAAATTCACAATTATTGTTCTCTCCCTATAGACTCTGTAGGTGGGGCACTCTAGGGAGGTACTTAGAGGGGAGAGAAATGAAGGTTGCTAAGACTGACCCTCCCAAATGATTGGGGAGGGAAGGCCAGACTTCAAAACATATACTCTTGAGCTCTTGCATAAATTGTGAAAACTTAGGAGGTTACACAATGGCTAAATGTGTATTTGATAGGGGGAGGAGGGGAAGACACAGGGAGATGAGGAGGAAGAGGGTAGAGGAGAGAGCGGGAAGGAGGCAAGGAGGGGGACAGATCAGAGCAGGCGAGTAACAACAAAGAGCTCTTCTGGTCAAGCCAGTGAGCTCTGCTTCCACCACATTAGAACTAATGGGAGCTTCTGCCTCAGCTGACGATGGGGGTACTTTCAAACAACTGAAGAAGGCAACTCAAATGTCATCACTAAACAGGGGTTATTTTGGGGATGGATGCCTGCTAGAACTTTCACTTGCTGTTTTCATCACATATATTAATGCAACTTTTGTCATTTTCCCCAAGTGCCTATATTTTATGAGACCTTGACCTTCCCAACTGATTTTTGCTGCTACAGGTAAGTACGTTGACGGCTGTCAATTCCATGGTGGGCGAGGGGTGACCGTACACGGTATAAGAAAAGTTGATAAAATGTACTAATTTGGATCTTTGAGAGCATTGTGATTGATATCTGTGCTCCTTGGGGACCAGGAATGAGATTCCTGCTTCGTGGGAGGGGTTGCATGCATCTGTGACCATGGGCAGAACTTTGCTGGCCTCCCCAAACCATGAAACTTTTGCTCACAGTGCCCCCTTCCGCTTGCCTGCTGCCCTCTGGGAGGAATTTGAATTTTTCCCTGAGATGCAGCCATTTCAGCCATGGCCTAGAGAGTATTGAGGTCTTTTGGACCACAAAATGAATTCTAGCAATTTAAAATGACACAAGGGTCCCTCTGCCCTCGGCAGTGGTTTTACCCATCTGTGTCCTCGGAAATTCTGATACTGCTCATGCCAAGAATCCTCCCTCCCTTCCTTAGACTACATTCTGAGGAAAGGACAGAAGAGAGATGTTTTCACTTACACATCATTGTTATTTTATACATAGGCCAGAATTAAGCAGGAGAAGTGACAGGATAAGGGACAGGTCCCAGTGCTCCAATAGCTTTCAATCTCGGGAAAATAAAGAGGGCACAAGCATACCCTAGCTTGGATTTTCCCACTCTTTCGCACTGGTTTCTGTAGGCATCTTTGGGATTCAATGTGCCTCAGAGACTGGCTAGATCCAAATCATTCTCGATTGCTCTGTAGGCACAGGGTGTTGGCACGGGACAGCGGGCATCTGGGACAGAGGGCATGGTGACACCTAGAGCAAGTTTAATATAGCTGTGCTCCCTCAGGAAGTTTACACCAAATAGACATGCCCTTTGGATTTTGTTCTTAAACTACCAGACCAAGAGAGACAGCAAGAAAGTGCATGAAGGATCACTCTTTCACACAAATGCTATAGATGCTACTAATGACCACATGATAGTAACACAACTTTTCTTCAATCTTGAATTCTCTATTTGCCCCTAAATTTGAACGTCATTCCTGGAAGGCAAGTCTGACTCCTTGTTTCAGAGCTTCTTATCTTGAGGGGAGAAGATGGCAGTGCAGCGGGGCCGGAGACCGCGGTGGGCTTTGCTGCACAAGCATGGGCTCCGCCCCACACAGCAGCTGAGGCACAGCCTCCAGACGAAGGGAAGTTGCTGGGCTTTGGCTCAAGAACATTCTGCCCACAGGTCTTGCCAGGCCCATACGGGGACCAAATCCACCCACGGCCACCATGAGAAAGCGGCAGGCACAACCCATATCTTCTGCTCCAAGGCCTGCCCGAATGTGATCCCCAGATAGTTGGGAGTGGTTGTTTTGGGGGGAGGGTGTCAGAAAAGGTGCTACATACATAAATTAAGTAATAAGCATACCTTGGGCAGGAAAGAAAAGAATAAAGGAAGGGAGAGAGGGAGGGAGAGAGAGGAATTACTGTGTCATGATTACCCACTCACAAGGCTCCCACTAGCTCTGGGCTGATGAGGAAGGTAAATTGGTACCTAGGGCAAACGCAGGGGGCAGATGAGGCCCACACTGGTCACACCAAATTAAAGGCCCGTTAGAGAATTCATAAGTTGCTATAATTGTTGCTTTTCATGGCAATCTGAGCCTAGCTACATTTTCTCTATTGTTAGCATTTTAATAACCCTGATGGCAGCAGATGTAACAGCACAGTGTTTAAGCTGAGGCCAGTCTGTCCTCTCTACCCACAGGCCACGTGCCACTGAGTGGTGGAGTGACTTCGGACAAATGAGTGTACCTCTCTGTAAAGCCTCAGGCTCCTGGCCTGCAAAATGGGCATAATAATATGTGCTGAGGTGTTAATAAGGGTGAAATGGATCCATACTTGTAAACCACTTAGAACCTACCCCAGCATATAGTCAGCACTGTTAGCTGTTTTTATAGACTTGTATCAGACTGCTACTCATGCAGTGATATGAATTAACAGTTCATGGTGCAGGTGTTTACGGGCTGACGCATGGAGGCACAGCGGTTCTGCTGGAA